CATGAATAAGATTCTCCAGCTTTCAGTACAGAATTACAATGAAGAAGAGTTTATGTGCCATTCCCATCAGCAATGAGAGGCGATAATGATGAATATAAGCGAAAGATGATCATAAATCTGTAGGATTGCGTAGGTTTCAAAAACTGAGGTCCACCTTGAGTCTGTTATCTCAGATGTCCAGGGCTGTGACAAAGGGTGGATGGGAGGGTTGGCTGGACATGGAACAATGGTTTTCTGGGAGAGCCTTCCTTCTGTTGCAAGGTTGACAGGCAGGAGCAGACTGGCCATAGGTCACACCATGTATTCGCCTGGTGGGCCAGAGACTCCTGGATAGGAGAGACAGACAGACAGCACATAGAGGACCGTGCATTTCTCTGTTCCTCTATGTGCCGCCCGGTGTAGCGGTAAAATGAGCATCCTGTGAAGATATGTATGCCTTGTATGAAGTACACATGCACTGACTTCAGGCCGAAGAAGCTGATCGCCGCTCTCCGAGTTTAGGACAGAGCTACCACAGTTAACCCCTCACAGGCTGCAAAAACTGCCACAGCGGATCCTTTGTGGGCTGCAAGATGGATCGGATCGGCGGATTGGGGCGCATAATGAATCGGGGAGAGGACAGTGTCAGTGACATGGGGTGGCGGTGTCAGTGACATGGGGGGAGAAGCACAGTGTCAGTGACATGGTGTGTGGCGGTGTCAGTGACATGGGGGGAGAAGCACAGTGTCAGTGACATGGGGTGGCGGTGTCAGTGACATGGGGGGAGAAGCACAGTGTCAATGACATGGGGGCGCAGTGTCAGTGACATGGGGGAGTAGTGTCAGTGACATGGAGGGGAGAAGTACAGTGTCAGTGACATGGGGGGGGTGGGAACACAGTGTCAGTGACATGGGGGGGGAGAATCACAGTGTCAGTGACATGGGGGGGAGAAGCACAGTGTCAGAGACATGGGAGGGCAGTGTAAGTGACATGGGGGGGGGGGGTGTCAGTGACATGGGGGGTGGTGTCAGTGACATGGGGGAGGACAGTGTTAGTGACATGGGGAGGCAGTGTCAGTGACTTGGGGGAGCACAGTGTCAGGGACTTGGGGGAGCAAAGTGTCAGTGACATGGGGGGTAGTGTCAGAGACATGGGGGGCAGTGTCAGTGACATGGGGGGCAGTGCCAGTGACATGTGGGAGCACAGTGTCAGTGACATGGGGGGGCAGTGTCAATAACATGGGGGGAAAGCAGTGTCAGGGACTTGGGGGAGCACAGTGTCAGTGACTTAGGAGGGGCAGTGTCAGTGACATGGGGGGGCAGTGTCAGTGACATGTGGGGGTAGTGTGTCAGTGACATGGTGGGGCAGTGTCAGTGACATGGGGGAGGACAGTGATATGGGGATGGAGGACAGTGATATGGGGGGCAGTGTCAGTGACATGGGGGGATGGTGTCAGTGACATGGTGGGGGGGTGTCAGTGACATGGGAAGGATAGTGTCAGTGACATGGGGGGCAGTGTCAGTGACATGGGGGGCAGTGTCAGTGACATAGGGAGGACAGTGTCAGTGACATGGGGGGGCAGTGTCAGTGACATTGGGGGAGAACAGGTCCTCTGCTTTTAAAATATATATATACTGTTAGGTGGGGTGGAGGGGTAAAAAGTAATTTATAGCCAAAATTGCTGATTTAAACATGTATGAAACATTTTTAAAAATTGCCCCCGTAGGCGAGTGGTTAATGTTTTTTTGGTAACTTTCAGAAGTGAGCCTACTAAAAAAATGGACTTACAGTATATAATTTTTACTGATATATTAATGAATATGACAGCTGGTTTAGATACCCGGTGGTGTAGGGCTCCCACATGAGAGTCACTTTGGGTGGGGGGCTCACGAAACCCAGCTCACTGTGCAGAGGTGGGGAGACCCGTCTCAGCTCCCCATATCCCTCTTATGTGCAAGTCATCTCTTAGGGGTACAGGGTGACTGATGGACGCTGAGAATGCGGCTGGAATGACTTCAGATGTGACAGTAATATTTATCAGCCATATGAAGACTATTCCTGGTTGTTGATTCTGAACTAGACATGTGAATTGAAGGAGCTGATCACACCGGGCTCTCGTCTACTCCAGTGTAGGAGCCGGATTGTCTGCTCTGTAGTGAGATCCTAATCCATCCAACCATTGTCTAGGTGTGATTCCCATTCACCTTTTGTTTGGGTCACCCAGCTAGTTAACCTAATGAACTTACTGTGTAGAGTGTGAAGTCTATTCCTGTATATAGCTGCATGTGCATATGATCATGTGATCGGTCTCAGTGTGTAGTAGTGTACGATCATGTGATCAGTCGCTGTGTGTATTGTATGATCATGTGATCGGTCTCAGTGTGTATTGTATGATCGTGTGATCGGTCTCAGTGTGTATTGTATGATCATGTGATCGGTCTCAGTGTGTATTGTATGATCATGTGATCGGTCTCAGTGCGTATTGTACAATCATGTGATCGGTCTCAGTGTGTATTGTATGATCGTGTGATCGGTCTCAGTGTGTATTGTATGATCGTGTGATCGGTCTCAGTGTGTATTGTACGATCGTGTGATCGGTCTCAGTGTGTATTGTACGATCATGTGATCGGTCTCAGTGTGTATTGTACGATCATGTGATCGGTCTCAGTGTGTATTGTACGATCATGTGATCGGTCTCAGTGTGTATTGTACGATCATGTGATCGGTCTCAGTGTGTATTGTACGATCATGTGATCGGTCTCAGTGTGTATTGTATGATCATGTGATCGGTCTCAGTGTGTATTGTATGAAGCATTCCATGTTCAGAGAGACTGGCGTCTACTCTTGTATGGTCAGCTGTGGTGTCTGTGGTCGGTGTTCGGACAGACTGGTGTCTACTCTTGTATGGTCGGCTGTGGTGTCTGTGGTCGGTGTGTTCGGACAGACTGGTGTCGTCTACTCTTGTATGGTCAGCTGTGGTGTCAGTGGTCGGTGTTCGGACAGACTGGTGTCATCTACTCTTGTATGGTCGGCTGTGTGGTGTCTGTGGTCGGTGTTCGGACAGACTGGTGTCGTCTACTCTTGTATGGTCGGCTGTGGTGTCTGTGGTCGGTGTTCGGACAGACTGGTGTCGTCTAGTCTTGTATGGTCAGCGGTGGTGTCAGTGGTCGGTGTTCGGACAGATTGGTGTCTACTCTTGTATGGTCGGCTGTGGTGTCTGTGGTCGGTGTTCGGACAGATTGGTGTCGTCTAGTCTTGTATGGTCAGCGGTGGTGTCAGTGGTCGATGTTCGGACAGACTGGTGTCGTCTACTCTTGTATGGTCAGCTGTGGTGTCAGTGGTCGGTGTTCGGACAGACTGGTGTCGTCTACTCTTGTCTGGTCGGCTGTGGTGTCTGTGGTCGGTGTTCGGACAGACTGGTGTCTACTCTTGTATGGTCGGCTGTGGTGTCAGTGGTCGGTGTTCGGACAGACTGGTGTCTACTCTTGTATGGTTGGCTGTGGTGTCTTGTGGTCGGTGTTCGGACAGATTGGTGTCGTCTAGTCTTGTATGGTCAGCGGTGGTGTCAGTGGTCGATGTTCGGACAGACTGGTGTCGTCTACTCTTGTATGGTCAGCTGTGGTGTCAGTGGTCGGTGTTCGGACAGACTGGTGTCGTCTACTCTTGTATGGTCGGCTGTGGTGTCTGTGGTCGGTGTTCGGACAGACTGGTGTCTACTCTTGTATGGTCGGTGGTGTGTGGTGTCAGTGGTCGGTGTTCGGACAGACTGGTGTCTACTCTTGTATGGTCGGCTGTGGTGTCTGTGTGGTCGGTGTTCGGACAGATTGGTGTCGTCTAGTCTTGTATGGTCAGCTGTGGTGTCAGTGGTCGGTGTTCGGACAGACTGGTGTCTACTCTTGTATGGTCAGCTGTGGTGTCTGTGGTCGGTGTTCGGACAGACTGGTGTCGTCTACTCTTGTATGGTCAGCTGTGGTGTCTGTGGTCGGTGTTCGGACAGACTGGTGTCTACTCTTGTATGGTCAGCTGTGGTGTCTGTGGTCGGTGTTCGGACAGACTGGTGTCTACTCTTGTATGGTCAGCTGTGGTGTCTGTGGTCGGTGTTCGGACAGACTGGTGTCGTCTACTCTTGTATGGTCGGCTGTGGTGTCTGTGGTCGGTGTTCGGACACAGACTGGTGTCGTCTACTCTTGTATGGTCGGCTGTGGTGTCAGTGGTCGGTGTTTCGGACAGACTGGTGTCGTCTACTCTTGTATGGTCGGCTGTGGTGTCAGTGGTCGGTGTTCGGACAGACTGGTGTCGTCTACTCTTGTATGGTCGGCTGTGGTGTCAGTGGTCGGTGTTCGGACAGACTGGTGTCTACTCTTGTATGGTCAGCTGTGGTGTCAGTGGTCGGTGTTCGGACAGACTGGTGTCTACTCTTGTATGGTCAGCTGTGGTGTCTGTGGTCGGTGTTCGGACAGACTGGTGTCTACTCTTGTATGGTCGGCTGTGGTGTCTGTGGTCGGTGTTCGGACAGGGAAGCGGGAGTCTAAGAGAAGTACTCAAGTACAGTCTGGGTCGGTTCCGTTACACACACTTCGACAACTTAGGACGCCATTTTAATGAACATATTATCAGGACGTTTGGAGTTCAATATAACATTCTTGACTAGACAACTTCAATGATGCAAAAAGGTGCCAAACCACATTCGTTGCTGGATCTGCAAACCTCGTATTTATTCACAGAATGGAAATAGATAATGATGTTCCTGAGATATACTGTATCAGTGTATCCATTTAAAAAAAAAATTCTAGTATCTGTAAATAATTTATGAATTTATAGTTCAGCATCTAAAGCAGTAATGCGTTTCGTCTGGTTCCTTCCCTAGGCTTGGAGAGTAAAGTCTTCGTCTTCCCCAAAGAAACTAGCACAGCTCATGTCATTCTAAGACCTGAAATTACAAGACCATTGCAGGAAGTCAGCGTCTGTCTACGTTCCTATACTGACCTTTCCCGCCCCTATACTCCCTTCTCTCTTGCTACTCCCGGGAAGGACAACGCCTTTTTTCATCTACTTACAGCCCCCAAACACTTGTTCTGTACACATCAACCAGGAAGACACTTATTTTAGGACAGACTCGGAGTCTTTGGACTGGAGGCACATCTGTGTGACCTGGGACTCCAACACTGGAGTGGTCCAACTTTGGGTCAATGGGAAACTCTACCCCAGAAGAGTCTCCATGAAAGGGTCTTCTATTGCAGCTGAGACCAGCATTGTCCTGGGACAGGAACAAGACTCTTTTGGAGGAGGGTTTGATGCTTCTCAGTCATTGGTTGGTGAAATAAGTGACATCCACATGTGGGATTATGCCCTGACACCAGAAGACGTCCATAAAGTCATCTCTGGCAGACACAATGGAAATGTCATTAATTGGGTATCTCTATACTATGAAATCAAAGGGGAAGTTCTTGTCCAGCCCAGACTTCAGTGAAAACGAATGAGCTCATCATTTACACTTTGTATTTAAGATGCCCCAACTAATGTATGCTGGCAGTTTGAAACACGGTCACATGAGCAATGATTCAAGTTGAGGGCCATCATTTTAGATTTGCTCCCTAAGTTTCTGTTGATCTGGACCCCATGGGGGGAACGTTTCCTCCCACTAAACTTTGATGACTCCTTGCTCCTTCCCTGATGTCCTCTAATCTGCATTATGATAGTCCTAAAACCTGGTCCTGAGATTTTCTATTCTCTTCTGGAAGTCACACGCCTTTTCTCTCACTCCTCTACTCTCTCTCTTTCAGTCTCTTCTAATTCTCCCCCCCCCCTTTTTTTTACATTTTCTTCTTCCTGCTCACTCTTGCCTCCCTCCTCATGCTTCATATGGAACCCCCAAATGGTCATTGGAAACAGTGCCCCCTCTCAGGTCCTATCTTCCCTTGTACCTCTTTGTCCCTTCATGTTTTTCTATGGTTCCTCGTAACAAGATTTTTATGCAATAATCCTCCTTCCCTGTAGGACACCATGTTTTTCTGTGTTCATGTATGCCTGTATATGTTCATGGACTGTCCTACACCTGTTTCTTTTTCATGTTTCTGAAATTAATAAAAAGTTTGAACAAGATGCCCCAACTGTTGGTTCCGGAATTACGTAATGATGATTTATTTGTTCTCCCCATCCATAACGAGGATTGATAATGATAGGTGTAGATCGAATAATGAAGGAATCGATGTTTTCACAGAGTAGATAAAACAAATTAAAATTGTAAATTGGATTCCAAATCATAGGAGTTTTTTTTTCCTCAATGGTAACATAATAGTCCTGGTTGTTTTATAATCCTATCATCGTAACACAATCAATAATTCACATAAATCTCATCTGAAATAAAGAATATATAGAGGCAATGTGCAAGTTGTGTATAAATGGAGCCTGCGCAGTGGACTGGAAGGGAATGTATGGATAAACTAGCAATACCACCAGTGTATATACAAAGTATAAATAAATGCAGTGGACTGGAAGGGAATGTATGGATAAACTAGCAATACCACCAGTGTATATACAAAGTATAAATAAATGCAGTGGACTGGAAGGGAATGTATGGATAAACTAGCAATACCACCAGTGTATATACAAAGTATAAAATAAATGCAGTGGACTGGAAGGGAATGTATGGATAAACTAGCAAAACCACCAGTGTATATACAAAGTATAAATAAATGCTGCGCTGCCACTAGTGATTCAATTAGCCCCCCATTTGTGATGGTGACCCACAACAGAATGTGACCTCTATATTACATCACATAGACATACAGGTGTACCTCGAGTTTACAAATTTAATGCTTTCTCCGGGACATTTTGTATTGTGAAAATTTGTAAAAATAAACCGAAACATGGTTTCCCATAGGAATGCATTGAAAACCAATTCATCTGTTCTAGAGGTCAGAAAAAAAGTGAAAAAAAAAAAAAGTCATTGCCAGTATAGGTCAGTGCTGGTTTTTAAATGTAATTACCGGCCTTTTTTTTTTTCTTCACTATAGCTCAGAGAATCAGCTGTCACTTTCCCCCCCAGATAAAAGAAAGAAAGTTCCCTGAGTGAAAAAAAAACAATGTTTCCTTTTAGTTTGTTTCCCGAGATAAAAGAAAGTTTCCTTTTAGTTTGTTTCCCTGAGTGAAAAAAAAAACAATGTTTCCTTTTAGTTTGTTTCCCGAGATAAAAGAAAGTTTCCTTTTAGTTTATTTTCCCTGAGTGAAAAAAAACAATGTTTCCTTTTAGTTTGTTTCCCAAAATAAAAGAAACAATGTTTCCTTTTAAAAAAACAATATTGGTGAAGCGCTTCCTATGAAAAACTAAATAAGTAGGTACAATGATATAAAAATACATGTAAAGTGACTGCACTGTATTGAAAGGTACTAATGCTAAATAATCCCCAAAAAAGATCCTGATGAAGCCACGTGACATCGTGGAGTAACGTGTAGAGCGCAGTGACGTAGTTCTGGTTAAGCACTTTCGGCAGACGCCATCTTTGAACACCCAGCACCTTGCAGTACACCCACAGCACATGGGAGACCAGCTGGATGAGATCTGCTATACTGTGAGTGTTCTCTTTTGGCTTGTTTTCATCTGCTATATGGAATAAACGGCATCTCACTATGGAGGCTCTTTGTCTACCTCTCTATGGCCTTGTGATTATCCCGGGGGTGTCACCATCTGAGGGCATACGTGACCTGGCAGAGGAGATGGAGTGCTACTACAGGAGTAAAGAGAAAACAGGCCACGCACACACCTAGTGCATTATCCAAGGTTTATTGTAAGGAGTGAAAAATAATAAAAACATACTTTAGTATGTAGTCATGCACTAGGTGTGTGCGCCTCCTGTTTTCTCTCCATCCAGTGGCTGATCTCCCCGTCTGAGGAGGGTTGCACCCCTGGAGCATTTCCTTTGGTTGTCGCTGTCCTGGTACCCTTGGCTTCCCTTTTGGCTGTGCATTTCCTGAGGCGCTGGAGAGTACATATGATATCCGGTTCAGCTACTACAGGAGTATTATTACAGAGATCCCCAGGCTGGTGGAGCTATAGTACCTAAAGCATTGTGGCCCTTAGGGGTCGCATGACTAAGGTGAGGAGGCACTTTAGCCACTTCTGGATTACGATATACACGTGTGGCATGCTAACACGCATCATGTTTGGAGTGAAGAATTGAAGCACTGACATTGCCGTGTTTTTTTTTTTTTTTATTATACTAATAATGGCGGCAATCAGCGAATTATGGAGGTGATCAGTGACTTATGGCAGCGACCAGCAACTTATGGTGGGACTGCGGGACTGCGGTGGACATTCTGACATTGGGGGCTACTGACTTGGGGGTCACTGACATCCCCAAAAACACTAATGCAGTGATCAGTGCAAAAAAACAAAACACTGACACTGTACTAATGGCACTGGGGAGGAAGGGGTTAACTTTATTTTGCAGGGAAGGGTTATAGGAGTGAGGGGGAGTGTTTTACTAGGGGGCGGGGTGTGTTCTGCACGGGACACCGCTGATCGAGAGAGAGAAACTCTTCTGTCTCGATCAGCTCGTCCTCGAGCTGTCAGGGAAGTGACAGACAGTACAGCTACTGCAGCCCTGCTCTCTGTCACTGTTTGCCGCCGATCGCCGGGACATAGCCGGTAAGGTCCGGCTGTGACCTGGCAACTGACATCCGTGGCGGTGATCGGCGGGACAGATAGGGCGGCGGCGCGCGTTGCGCGCACCCCCTATCTGTTTACAAAACACACATTTTAAAACGTGGTTTTGCCTGCCAGTGCCGCCCTGCCGCCGTATGTCTACAGTGGCAGGGCGGCAAGTGGTTAACCAATATTCATACTCCTACTGAGCACTTTCCACTTTCAGTCAGAGTGTGCAATGTTATGTATTATATGTGTGCAATGTTATGTATTATATGTATTATATGTGTGCAATGTTATGTATTATATGTGTGCAATGTTATGTATTGTATGTATGCAATGTTATGGTGTATTATATGTGTGCAATGTTATGTATTGTATGTGTGCAATGTTATGTATTATATGTGTGCGATGTTATGTATTGTATGTGTGCAATGTTATGTATTATATGTATTATATGTGTGCAATGTTATGTATTATATGTGTGCAATGTTATGTATTATATGTGTGCAATGTTATGTATTGTATGTATGCAATGTTATGGTGTATTATATGTGTGCAATGTTATGTATTGTATGTGTGCAATGTTATGTATTATATGTGTGTGCGATGTTATGTATTGTATGTGTGCAATGTTATGGTGTATTATACTGTATGTGTGCAATGTTATGTATTGTATGTGTGCAATGTTATGTATTATATGTGTGCAATGTTATGTATTATATGTATGCAATGTTATGTATTATATGTGTGCAATGTTATGTATTATATGTGTGCAATGTTATGTATTTATATGTATGCAATGTTATGTATTATATATGTGCAATGTTATGTATTGTATGTGTGCAATGTTATGTATTATATGTATTATATGTGTGCAATGTTATGTATTATATGTGTGCAATGTTATGTATTATATGTGTGCAATGTTATGTATTATATGTGTGCAATGTTATTGTATTATATGTGTGCAATGTTATGTATTGTATGTATGCAATGTTATGTATTATATGTGTGCAATGTTATGTATTGTATGTATGCAATGTTATGTATTGTATGTGTGCAATGTTATGTATTATATGTATTATATGTGTGCAATGTTATCTATTATATGTGTGCAATGTTATGTATTATATGTGTGCAATGTTATGTATTATATGTGTGCAATGTTATGTATTGTATGTGTGCAATGTTATGTATTATATGTGTGCAATGTTATGTATTATATGTATGCAATGTTATGTATTATATGTGTGCAATGTTATGTATTATATGTGTGCAATGTTATGTATTGTATGTGTGCAATGTTATGTATTATATGTGTGCGATGTTATGTATTATATGTGTGCGATGTTATGTATTATTTATGTGTGCAATGTTATGTATTATATGTGTGCAATGTTATGTATTATATGTATTATATGTATGCAATGTTATGTATTATATGTGTGCAATGTTATGTATTATATGTGTGCAATGTTATGTATTGTATGTGTGCAATGTTATGTATTATATGTGTGCGATGTTATGTATTATATGTGTGCGATGTTATGTATTATATGTGTGCGATGTTATGTATTGTATGTATGCAATGTTATGTATTATATGTGTGCAATGTTATGTATTATATGTGTGCAATGTTATGTATTATATGTATTATATGTATGCAATGTTATGTATTATATGTGTGCAATGTTATGTATTATATGTGTGCAATGTTATGTATTATATGTGTGCAATGTTATGTATTATATGTGTGCAATGTTATGTATTATATGTATTATATGTATGCAATGTTATGTATTATATGTATGCAATGTTATGTATTATATGTGTGCAATGTTATGTATTATATGTATTATATGTATGCAATGTTATGTATTGTATGTGTGCAATGTTATGTATTGTATGTGTGCAATGTTATGTATTATATGTGTGCGATGTTATGTATTATATGTGTGCGATGTTATGTATTGTATGTATGCAATGTTATGTATTATATGTGTGCAATGTTATGTATTATATGTGTGCAATGTTATGTATTATATGTGTGCAATGTTATGTATTATATGTGTGCAATGTTATGTATTGTATGTGTGCGATGTTATGTATTGTATGTATGCAATGTTATGTATTATATGTGTGCAATGTTATGTATTATATTTGTGCAATGTTATGTATTATATGTGTGCAATGTTATGTATTATATGTGTGCAATGTTATGTATTATATGTGTGCAATGTTATGTATTGTATGTGTGCAATGTTATGTATTATATGTGTGCAATGTTATGTATTATATGTATGCAATGTTATGTATTGTATGTGTGCAATGTTATGTATTATATGTATTGTATGTGTGCAATGTTATGTATTATATGTGTGCAATGTTATGTATTATATGTGTGCAATGTTATGTATTATATGTGTGCAATGTTATGTATTATATGTGTGCAATGTTATGTATTTATATGTGTGCAATGTTATGGTGTATTATGTATACTGTACATATATTGCATTTTGTTACGATTTAGTCAGCAAACGTATGACCTGTTTTGCACTTTCAGCACTTGGCACTTATATTTTTTGGGTGATTATTTAGCACTAGTTATCAATACCTCTCAATACAGTGCGGTCACTTTATGTGTATTTTTATATCATTGCACCTACTTATTTTAGTTTTTCATGTGAAGCGCTTCACCAATATTGTTTTTTATGTCATACATCCTGTGGTATTGGGAATAGGTGGTAGCAGCTTCCATATATTTGGGGTTGTGTTTTGTTCATACCAGTGGAGCGCAGTTTATTTTTATATTTAATGTTTCCTTTTAGTTTGTTTCCCCAAGTTAAAAAGAAACAAAGTTTTCTGTAACTCCAGGGAAAGTGACAGCTAATCTTTTGAGCTATAGTGAAGGAAAATAAAATCAGACAATTGCATTTAAAAGTCGGCACCGACATACACGTCGCATTGCAAAAAAAATTGTAAACCGAAACGCGGTTTCCCATAGGAATGCTCATTTTTAAATGTAATTACCGGCTTTTTTTTTCTTCATTATAACTCAGAGAATCAGCTGTCACTTCCCCCCCCCCCCAGCTAAAAGAAAGAAAGTTTCCTTTTTTTTAGTTTATTTCCCCAAGTTAAAAGAAACAATGTTTCCTTTTAGTTTGTTTCCAGAGATAAAAGAAACAATGTTTCCTTTTAGTTTGTTTCCGGAGATAAAAGAAACAATGTTTCCTTTTAGTTTGTTTCCGGAGATAAAATAAACAATGTTTCCTTTTTAGTTTGTTTCCGAAGATAAAATAAACTATGTTTCCTTTTAGTTTGTTTCCCAAGATAAAAAAACCTATGTCTCCTTTTAGTTTGTTTCCGGAGATAAAATAAATAATGTTTCCTTTTAGTTTGTTTCCGGAGATAAAAGAAGCAATGTTTCCTTTTAGTTTGTTTCCTGAGATAAAAAAAAACTATGTTTCCTTTTAGTTTGTTTCCGGAGATAAAAGAAACAATGTTTCCTTTTAGTTTGTTTCCCAAGATAAAAGAAACAATGTTTCCTTTTAGTTTGTTTCCTGAGATAAAAAAAACCTATGTTTCCTTTTAGCTTGTTTCCGGAGATAAAATAAATAATATTTCCTTTTAGTTTGTTTCCGGATATAAAAGAGACAATGTTTCCTTTTAGTTTATTTCCCAAGATAAAAGAAACAAAGTTTCCTGTAACTCCGGGGGAAAGTGACAGCTAATCCTGTGAGCTATAGTGAAGGGAAAAAAAAGCCGGCAATTGCATTTAAAAATCAGCGCTGACATACACTTTGTATGGCGAAAAGAAAATTTCTACAAAATGTGTAAACTGAGGTATTATTTTCAATGGGTTTTCATTCGTAAACTGAAAATGATGTTACCCGAGACATTCGTTCACCGAGGTCCGCCTGTATCACCTTGAAAAGTGGCCCTCCATGTGTCCCTACTGCGGGGGAAAATAGTTCCAACACTTTCTACAACCACACAGGTGAGACAAGGTGATCCAGAGGTCAATCTATTCATAGAGGTCTTTGTGTCGAGTGCTCCACTTGGTGCTCCCCCCTCCAGGGCCCCGCTCACCATTGACTACCTGCATAAGTGTGTTTGGGGCCCCAGCACACCCCCGCAGTGATCAGCGGCTGGCCAGACCATGTGTATGTGTATGTGTATGTATGAATGTGAGTTAGGGACCTTAGATTGTACACCCCTTGAGGGTTAGGGACTGATATGAATGTACAATATATATGTAAAGTGCTGCGTAAATTGACGGCGCTATATAAGTACCTGAAATAAATATTCTTTCAATTTTATTCTATTCTATTATTTTTTTTCTATTCTATTCCATTTTATTCTGTTCTTTTATTTTGTATTCTTTTGTATTCTTTTCTGTTCCATTCTATTATTTTATTTTCTATTTTATTCTTTTCCATTTTCATCTATTCTAGTCTTTTATGCTCTGTTCTATTCTTTTCGTATTCAAAGTCTAGTTAAATTCAATTAAAATTTGAGTTGAATTTCGTTTTGAATTTAAGTTATTTCGGATTCATTACTATTGTAATTTGGAATTAGAATCCATTCGATTACCCGAATAGCAAAAAAAATTCTCAAATTTCAATTTGGAACGAAACGAAGCGCACATGTCTACTAGTATTCATATTCCTACATATTGGGACGTGTATGGCTGAGTCACGATGCTCACCTGATGCTTTTAGTGTGGCAATGAAGATTTATCGTTTGGTACAGAATTCATCTGTTTGTTTTTGCCAGATGCTATATTTTAATCTGATAATGGGATTTCTATTTATGTGATTAAATTGTTCTAATCCCCTCCCAATCATGTGATTCCGGTGTTCCAATCCCCTCCATATCATGTGATTCAGGTGTTCCAATCCCCTCCCAATCATCTGATTCAGGTGTTCCAATCCCCTCCCAATCATGTGATTCAGGTGTTCCAATCCCCTCCCAATCATGTGATTCAGGTGTTCCAATCCCCTCCCAATCATGTGATTCAGGTGTTCCAATCCCCTCCATATCATGTGATTCAGGTGTTCCAATCCCCTCCATATCATGTGATTCAGGTGTTCCAATCCCCTCCATATCATGTGATTCAGGTGTTCCAATCCCCTCCATATCATGTGATTCAGGTGTTCCAATCCCTCCATATCATGTGATTCAGGTGTTCCAATCCCCTCCCAATCATGTGATTCAGGTGTTCCAATCCCCTCCCAATCATGTGATTCGGGTGTTCCAATCCCCTCCCAATCATGTGATTCAGGTGTTCCAATCCCCTCCATATCATGTGATTCAGGTGTTCCAATCCCCTCCCAATCATGTGATTCAGGTGTTCCAATCCCCTCCCAATCATGTGATTCAGGTGTTCCAATCCCCTCCATATCATGTGATTCAGGTGTTCCAATCCCCTCCCAATCATGTGATTCAGGTGTTCCAATCCCCTCCCTATCATGTGATTCAGGTGCTCCAATCCCCTCCACATCATGTGATTCAGGTGTTCCAATCCCCTCCCAATCATGTGATCATGTGATTCAGGTGTTCCAATCCCCTCCATCATCATGTGATTCAGGTGTTCCAATCCCCTCCACATCATGTGATTCAGGTGCTCCAATCCCCTCCACATCATGTGATTCAGGTGTTCCAATCCCCTCCCAATCATGTGATTCAGGTGTTCCAATCCCCTCCATATCATGTGATTCAGGTGTTCCAATCCCCTCCATGGACACAGGTGTACACAATCAAGCCCCTAGGCATGCAGACTGCTTCTACAAACATTGGTGAAAGAATGGGTCGCTCTCAGGAGCTCAGTGACTCCAAGCGTGGTCCCGTGATAGGTGGCCACCTGGGCAATAAGTCCATCCATGACCTTTCCTGGCTACTAAATATTCCACGCTCAACTGTTAGTGGGATTATAACAAAGTGGAAGAAACTGGGAACAACAGCCACTCAGCCACCAAGTGGTAGGCCACGTCACATGACAGGGCGGGGTCAGCGCATGCTGAAGCGCACAGTGCGCAGAAGTCACCGACTGTCTGCAGAGTCAATAGATAAAGACCTCCAAACTTGGTGTGGCCTTCAGATGAGCCCAGCAACAGTGCGTAGAGAGCTTCATGGAATGGGTTTCCATGGCCGAGCAGCTGCATCCAAGCCTTCCATCACCAAGTGCAATGCAAAGCGTCAGATGCTGTGGTGTAAAGCACGCTGCCACTGGACTCTAGAGCAGTGGAGACGTGTTCTCTGGAGTGACCAATCACACTTCTCTGTCTGGCAATCCAATGGACGTGTCTGGGTTTGGTGGTTGCCAGGAGAACAGTACTTGCCTGACTGCATTGTGCCAAGTGTAAAGTTTGGTGGAGGGGGGATTATGGTGTGGGGTTGTTTATCAGGGGTTGGGCTTGGCCCCCTAGTTCCAGTGAAGGGAACTCTTAAGGTGACATTTTGGACAATTTCATGCTCTGAACTTTGTGGGAGGAGTTTGGGGATGGCCTCTTCCTGATCCAACATGACTGCCCACCAGTGCACAAAGCAAGGTCCATAAAGACATGGAGGAGCCAGTTTGGGGTGGAGGAACTTGACTGTCCTGCACAGAGTCCTGACCTCAACCCCATAGAACACCTTTGGGATGAATTAGAGCGGAGACTGCGAGCCAGCCAGGCCTCCTCCCCCGACATCAGTGCCTGACCTGACAAATGTGCTTCTGGAAGAATGGTCCAACCTTCCCATAGACACCCTCCTAAACCTTGTGGAGGGCCGTCCCAGAAGAGTTGAAGCTGTTATAGCTGCAAAGGGCGGGGCCAACTCAATATTGAACCCTACGGGCTAAGACTGGGGGGCCATTAAAGGTCATGTGTGTGGAAAGGGCGGGGCCAACTCAATATTGAACCCTACAGACTAAGACTGGTAGGTCATTAAAGGTCATGTGTGTGGAAAGGGCGGGGGCCAACTCAATATTGAACCCTACGGACTAAGACTGGGGGCCATTAAAAGTCATGTGTGTGGGAAGGCAGGCGACCTAATACTTTGCCAATATAACTGTCAGATACCTACTGACGGTTGCTCTATGGATCCACAGACTGGGATTCCTCAGGGCGCAGAGTCTAAGCCCCAGTCTGCTTGTTCAGAGCCCCTGATGGTGGAGATGGACTTGGAGCAGACTGAGACCAGGTCGTGACCCCCGAGTACACCCAGCTGTGGTAGAGGGATCCGCCAGTGGCACATAGCTGGATAAGAGCCTGATGTGAGGAGGCTGAGCAGATCTGGATGGATCCGTGCAGGATGGATGGACGGAACACACTGTGAACAATAGCGGAGTCAGACAGGCCGGGTCGGTAACAATGGGGGCAGAACGGAACAGAGCAGCAGGCAGAGAATCGTCGGGTCACAGGCCAGGTTCAGCAGCAGGAGATCAGATAATCGGGAACAGGCAGAAGAATGGTCAAACGAGCCAGAGGTCAGGGCAGGAGAAGATCGGCAGTGATCAGGATCAGGCTGGGATCGGCAAACAACAGGATACTCTCACAGGAACAGGATCAGCAAGGAACAAGACCATACGGCAATGTGAGCATTGCAAGAGCCGGATTAAAAAGTGCGCCCTGCGCTGTCATTGGTGCCAGGCGCGCGTCCGCTTGCGCAAGTGCGCATGCGCGGCCGCAGAAGCTGCCACGGGTGCCTATGTCCTAGCGCCTGCACGCTTGTCCACATCGGGATTCCGCGTATGCGCAGACCTGTGTGCCGCGGCGAAACTTGGGTTTCCTGACAATAACGTACTTGTTGTTGTTTGCCTTCTTGGGAAATTCTCAGTCCGTAGTTCTATTGGGGTGTTTATTAGTAGATATCTGAGATGTTTAATTGAGGAACCGGAGAGAAGAATTGACTGGATGTCACAATGGTTACAGTACACATTGCGCAATTTGTCATTTCTGTCCTTGTGGTGAATAGTGAGGCTCATGTTCTGTATTTTCCATTTTTGAGAAATGCTGATTTCATTGGTGGAGGTCAGAGGAGGAGTTACTAATGAGGAAAGAACTTTATTACACCCCTCCATCCACTCATCTCACCATTACCAGGAGGATCTCCTGAGGGCTGAGACTGGACAAAGGGAGAAGCTTCAACCAGAACCAACAACACCGTACTGAGAGATCGCAGGTAACGCACAAAGC